TCCCGCCCCCAACATCAAACGTGAACCTCTGCAGCCCCATGACCACCCCCATCCCCTGCATTACATCTGTCCTTTGCATGTCTGTGTCCCCCATGATACAGGAGCTTCCAGAGGCAGAGCCAGCAGCGAATACTTCTATAATCCTGCTCTCACATTTAGGGCAAAACCTAAACAGGTGTCCTACCACTCTGAAAGGGTTAGTGGGAGTGATACCAAACCCTCCAATCCCATTTTGGATCCCTTTATACTGAAGGTTCTCAGTGTAACTTAACTATCAATCCGGACCTTTGGTAAACATATTACTTTTTGAAGGTACTACAGAACCATCTAATTTTCTTTGTTCCTAATTAATGTGACAGAGCTGGACCAAATGAACTGATTCAATTAAGCGCTTCTTAGTAAGAAGCTGAAATTAGTATCAATCCAGAAGCTGCTCTTTTCGAGCCTAGGAGAGAGTCAAGATTCTGGGATGGGCATCCGGTGTGGGGTCAAGGAGTATCAGGAATCATTTTTTCAGAATCCACAGCCTTTTCCAGAGTCTAAAGTGATCCCTGTTGGAGACAACTGGAAAAAAGTGCTAAACAAACAGCACCCCCAAATCCTTAAATGGGCCAAATTATCTCCACTCAGCTCAGGGTTGAAATACTGAAAAGTGACCCAGTTTCCCAAGTAGTGCTCCAGTCTGCTCTGGCAGGCTAGAGAATGTAATAAGCCCGTGGTCCATACCCCATGGCTCTCTGGTTCACCTAAATCCCATGATCTAGCACAGAGCCTGGAAAGCAGGGACCAAAGAAGAAATGATCTGAAGTCAGGACTGTCTCCGGGGGGATGGCAGAAGCCCTGAGCCACAAATCTGTTTACTAAAGAACCTGGAGGAGCCACACAATTCATTTGTTTGCTTTTTATATCTCCTTCCCATGCCAGGGAGTATAACCCGTGTGTGTGCCGAGCCAAACACACACCCACACAGCCTCACAGAATGCACGTGCTGCTGAGCAAGCAGGCAGTGTGACATTCCAACACTTAAGACCTACTGCCAGAGAGTTATTTTTAAAACGTTTTTTCTTACTCCAGATCTCACTTACCAACTGTGTGATCCTGGATATGTCTCTGAACCTCTTTGGGCCTCAGTTTCCTCATTTGTTTAAAGAAGACAACAGTACCTCCTTACAGGGCTATTTTAAGAATTAGAGCTGATGTGTGTAAAACACTTAGCCCCAGGGATATTTCAAAGATTAAGTGATATCAAGCATGTAAAAGGGTTATGATAGTATTGGACACAGAGTGAATATTCAATATAAGGTATTACCATCATTATTATTATTATTTTAAGCTCATGCTAACACATTAAGCAGCGCCTTTTCTGGCAGAATCCTTTACAGGCCCTTTGGATGCTAACTCCAGCTCAATTAGCAGCCAGTTGTGTGGCTTTGGACAAGTCACTTCATCTCTGTGAAGTGTGGGGTGGGAAACTTTTCCCACTATAGAAGTTATAATCCAAAGAAGAGTTCCTCTGGGGTCATCATCCACACTACCCATTGGAAGCTTAATTATGCATCATATTTTTTCTCTGCTTTGATGCTATAAATGCCTAGATTGTATGCTCCTAGGAAACAGTTCTGGCCTTGTCCTCTTCATGCCGTCAGTATTCACACAGTTATTTGACACCCCTCTTAATAAAGGGGAAATGGATATTTGTTGACAAGGAACTACTGTTTGTGGAGACCTCCTACTACATGCTGAATATCCCTGATGCTTGGGACTACAAGATTTTGGATTTTTTTTATTTTGGAATATTTGCATTATACTTGTTCAATATCCTTAATCTGAGAATCCAAAATATGAAATGTACCAATGAGCATTTTCTTTGTCATATAGGTTTCTAATTTTGGATCATTTTGGATTTTAGATTTTCTGATTAGGGATGCTCAACCTGTGGGAGCCCTATGATGAGCCATTCACTGCCAACTGCAAAACAGTTACTTGCATTTAAATTTAAGTTCAGAAGTTGCAAACTGCCTGTCCGAAGGTTGACTATTAAGTTCATTTTAGTCCACCAGCATAATTCTTAAAATTTTTTGAGTAAGTTTCCAACATTTAAAAAAGTACAAGACTGGCATTAAAAAAAATCTAGATTTCTATTTCTACTGAACAATTGGAAGATCTGGCAACACTCTGGGTTTAGACAATTATCATCAGTAACAGAGTAGCTGTCCTCTTTACCACTCACTACGAGTCTCCACCACTCCTTCATGGCTTTCTAGAACTATCCCTGAATCTAGCTGTTAATAATTAACCGTCACTGCTTAGGAATTAACTCTTGATTTGCTTGCACCTATTTTGTGCATTACACTTAACAAAGTAGTGTGTTTTGCACGAAGCACTCCAGAAATGTGAAAAGGAGGGACAAACTTGACAAAAGTTCACAAACGTGTCTAGATGGTTCCGAGTAGATTTCTGTAATGCATGCTTTCAAAAAAGATACGTGTTTTTTCCCAGATAGTCAAGTTATATCTATTCCTTCATGGGAGTCAGAGCAAAGAGATAAATCTCATGTCACTTATCAAAGCAAACTGATGCAGAAGTAAACAGTAGCCTGAAAGGCAAAAAAGCAATTTTAAAAAAAATTAATAAATGATGAGACTATTAACAGCACACAAAAAGAGTTTGCTTTTTTTTCTACCCTTTAATATGATTTTTACCTTAAACACTGTGTCCCTTTAGGAAAGGGAAGAAAAGTTAATAAAGGAACCTATCACTCAAACTAAATTTTTAGTACGGCAAATAAACTGCTTTAATGAAAGGGCTGAAATCCCAAGGTTTGCACATTAAATTTTCATTCGTAGTGGAGAATGGAAATTATTGATTCAGCCGTGGCATTGTGCATTTTGAATCCTATAGTGCCTCAGAAGCCCATGTTACTGCTGAGTGCAAATGTGTTGGCAGCGTTTTGATACTGAGTGAACACGGGGTGGGTGAGGGGGTGGAGAAAGGAATATAGGTAAGGGAAGGAAGCAGACAGGCTCTTCGTAGAAAGAAAATAATCAATGTTCCTTGTCTCTAAGATCCACTTAGATAAAGCATCTGACGGCATGATAGGCCAGGGGGTGCATTCTGAGACCACAAAAGCCAGGTTCACTCAGTCTTTGGGGAAACCCCAATGGCCCTATGGAATACTTAAAACAAAAAAAAGAAAGAAAGAAAAGAAAAGAAAAAGCAGGACAGAAGGCTGATTATTTGATCCTAAGCCCCTGGAGAAGAGTTTGGGTTTCAAGAAAACTGTAGAGGAAAGAAAAGTACCTTTCTCAGTTCAAGGTCAATGTGTCCGTCAAAGGAAGAGTAAATGTTTGACATTCTAATGCTGAACTGGATAGCACAGAAAATCAATCAAACCCACAAATACAGTTCTCAATCTAGTGAGGCCTCATCAAAGAGTCAGGTGACATGAGTATCCCTTCTTTCCTTAAAGCATAAAAATAGGTGTGTTTTTCTTTTGAAAGAAATTAATCCTCCTGCCTCTCAGAGGACTAGCCCATAATTAAACAACCCTTGATTATTTCTCCCTCAGAGAACTCACAGGAATTGATTCTAAGCCTAGACTGAGGCAGCCTGAATCAGGCCCATTTTGGGGGCTTTTGTACCAGACTGTATGAGATCAGGGAAAGCAATCATCTTCAGAAATAAGCTAAACTCAATTGCAAAAGTAAAGCTGCTTTAAAAAGAAAGAAAGATAATCACATAATATATTCTAAAAAGAGAAAGGTTTTGCTTTGTTTTGTTTTTGTTTTTTGTTTTGATTAACTCCCAGCTAAGATTATCTTATACCAGTAGTCTCCTCTGTCAGTCTGGATGTTGGAAAAGTAGCTTTGTTAGACTAAAAGTTCTTTCTGGTTTTGTGTTTTCAGATGCTGAGAGCTGGTGCCATCTATAGATTTCCATTCTGGGAGAGGTTTCTCTTTTGTCCTACTTTGCGTCAGACCTGCTGTCGTGAGGATAAGAGCGCCCAGGAGACACTTCCCTGCGGTTTAATAGGCTATGAAGGATGGGACTCATTAATCGGCTGGCAGCTGCCCCTAAACAGGATGCTGCCCGGAGGTGGGGGAAGAAGGGGAAGGGAGGCCAAGGATGAGGCAGGCTCCATTCAGGAGACCCGCTACCAGTTGCCCTAGGGGAGCCCCACAGCAAACAGCAGCATCTCCTGAAGGATCCCACAAGTCAAGTCTGAACAGAGAGCACAACAAGCCAGCTGCAGAAACCTAAACCTCTTTCTGGAGAAGCGGGCTCTGGGTCACTGGTTTTCTTTTTTGACTTAAAACAACCCCTCCTGAGATATCACCTACCCACCTGATTATTTTCAGATTGCTGATATGTTACTTTTTCTGTCTTTCCCGTACTATGTTCTCATCGATTTTATTATAGTACTCGTCCCTATTACATTAATGTGTTTATTTATAACAGATTTTTCCTTTTCTAGCTTCTGTTAGGAGGGTCCTATCCACCCTTAGGTAAAGCCAAGCTGCTCAGCCTGACACACGAGGTCCACTAATTTGGCCCTGCTCACCTCCCATCCTTGTCTGTTCACCTCCCCATCCAAACTTAGGCCACACTATCTATATTCAGTCGGTCATTCACAATGTCTTACATTTTCACAGCTTTGCATGTGCTGTTTCCTCTGCCTGGAACAGTATTTCCCTTGGCTCCATTCTGGCCATCTTTGCAGACTCAGGCCCATAGGCCCTCTTGGTAAGGTCTTAAATCCCAAATACCTCATCTATGCTCTGGATGGAGTTTCAACAGCTCACAGTCCCTTCCCTTTATTCAAATCTCACCTCACTCTCCTGTAATAGCCTGTGTCCCTCACTTAGTAGAGGGGACACTAAATGTTCTTTGAATAAATAAAAAGCACCACTTCAGCTCCCGCATAACCTGGATTTATTAGATCAATGGAATGAAACTTAGCCAGTGCCTGCTGAATTAGGAGCTGGCACATCACTTCTTACCTTTATGGTTTTGGTCTGGAGTCTGAGTCCATTTAAAGTGTTGATGGCTTTCTCTGCATCCTTTGGATCAATATAGTTAACAAATCCATACCCTAAACTCTGTCCTGTGGAAACATTAAAAAAGAGAGAGAGAGAGAGAGAGAGAAAGAGAGAGAGAGAGAGAAAGAGAGCACACTCAGTATCTTTATAGAGGCAACACTTCCCACTGCAGTGAGTCAAAACTCTCCTCTGGTATATGGTTCCTCTTATACCAGGGTTTACCCCCAGATTGAGAGGTTTCCAATTCCTCCAGCTCTCACTCCTGTTAGCCTTTAAACTCAAAGGAGCTGCCCAGGCTAAAAATGGGTAAGTGTCCCCGCACATCCACACAGGATATACAAGTGTCACATAATCAGGAAGAGGTAGGACAGGGTAGTGGGAAGAGAGCAGGTGTAGTTTGTTAGAAGAGACTTGAACTAGAGTCCTGGGACTTTCCTATTAGCTATGTGACTTTGAAGCGAAGTCATTTAATCTCCCATTTCCCTCCCAAATCTCTTCTCTGGCAATAACAGCACTTACCTCAGATAGGTTTGAGAGAGTTAGTGAGATAATTATACATAAAATGCCTACCAAGTACATTGCTTAGAATGCAGTAGGTGCTCAACAAAAAAACACTTAACGCTCTGCTTAGTCCTGTAAAATTGGGGCAAGTGCTGGATGCAGTAGCTGTGTCTATTGCCTCGGTTATGCCAGCCACACCCACACTCAGAGGGATGTAGCAGGATCTGAGCAGCAAAGACTGAGGATGTGGATAGTGAAGAATGGGGGCATGGCCAGAATTTCAAGCAGTTGCTACAAATCATTCTTTGCCCCCATCATCCCTTGAGCCAAAGAACAATTAAACAAACAAACAAAAAAAAGAATAAAGGAGAGAGGGTTTCTACTGGAAATTGCTGGGGAGCTCCTAACAGGAAGGGGAGAGTGCAAACACCATGCAAAGAGGATCTAGCTACTTTAGATGGAGACGGCATCAACTTGTCTGCAAGGAGAGGTAGCAAGTGACAGGGCTCCCCCCTAAGTGAAATAAAAATAATGTGCTTGCGATCGTGCCACTGATTATAAATAGTCCATCAGCTCTGCCATGTGTCATCAGCCAGAAATATCATTAGGAAACTTTACATTTTCTGACATACCCTTTAAGAAACACAGAGCTTGGGGTGGCTGCAAAACCAGCTTGAACTTCCCAGGCAATGCTATCGATTTGTGGGTGGCAGCAGAGCCGTTGGGGGAGGAAAATGACAGGACGTCACATGTCAGGAAAGACTGATTACATAAACCTCTCTTTGGAGTACCAGGGCCAGGGATGGGAGACAATACAGCAAAAAGCCTGCCATGTCCTGGTGACAGGAGCGCATTTCAGCAGCCAAAAAATCTTTCCAACAGCTTCTGTTTTGCTGGTAAATGTCTGTGTTTGTGTTGGTTGTAGGAGGGAACCTGGGAAAACAAGTTGGGTTCTGGATCAGAAAATGGGTGACTTTGTTATCCTTTATAGGATGGAAGTAAAGAGAATCATAAGGAAACTCAATGGCATTTGTTCCCCAAATGGAAAACCCAAAATGACACCACCTTCCATTAGAATATTCCTCTGTGTTTTGGAAGAACAGGGTTAGAATAGGAAAGACAGAGGCAAACTTTGCCAGATAGGTCCTTCACCAGACAAAATTAGTAACTGAAGAGGGAAGAGAGAATATTGTGCACACTCTAGCTGCTGGTCCTTCTCTTTCCATTTCACTGTGTAAGTGTAGTGTGTGAGTGGTTGTGTGTGTGTGTGAGAGAGAGAGAGAGAAAGAGAGAGCGAGAGCGAGAGAGCGAGAGAGAGAGCGAGAGCGAGAGCGAGAGAGGTGTGTGAATTACAAGACCCCGCCACATGTTCTGAGAAACTTCATTTTGCAAACACAAAAATACAAGAGACTAATTTCATTGGTTTAAAAATATCATTTATCCTAAATTTGGCTCCACCTCATCAAGCCTAACTAAATTCACCTAATTAACTCCATTTTCATCATGTAGATTTCTCATATTTACCTTGCATATATGAGAAGCCTTAAAAATTGCTGTACTAAAATATTATTATAATCACTTTTTTAAAACAGCCAAGTTAAGATGCTATTAAAAGGCATTTTAAAAACAATTACCTCAATGGTAAACCTTATACATAAGTTCTAGGAAACTAGTCAGATGGTCAGTCTATCCAGCTCAATTTAATTTGTGTAAAATTAAAGGGAAATATGAAAAATATAAAGAAAACACTCACCACATAACTGCAAACATTAGACCTAACTCATATTGAAATAGTACCTAATTTATCATACTGATGGAATATATGTGGAAAAATATATCATGCTTACTAGTGGTACATGCTTCCAATACACTGTCCTTCTTTCTAAAATTATTCATATATTGATGGAAATCTAAAACAAATACAGTACATAATAATTTTTACACTCTACATTTTTTCTTTCTTTTTAGATATTTGCTTCCAGGAGAAGGAAAACACTTTCAGCTTTAAACCCTAGGATGGCTCCGAAGGTCAAGTGAGGAAAGGATTCTTGCCCAGCAAGATGTGTCATGTCAATCCACTTGCCCGTATCAGTCCTCAATCCACCATCACCTTAGTTCCTGACTGCAATTAACACTACTGTGTTATCACCAGCGCTAGGTTTAGAGAGAGACTGCATTTAACATCAAGAATAAGGGTGCTCTTGGGAAAACTAAAAACCAGTGGAATATTCTTTCAGAAAGGAAAGGGAAAAGAAAAATGACAATTCTCCTTGATATAAAATAATAAGCTGCAAACTCTAAAACAGAACATTGTATTGCATAAGAGGAGGACAGAGGCAGAAAACCTTGCCTGTGAATTGAAAGATATGAGACAGGCTCGCAGCACAATGAAACTACCTGTGGTTAGCCTAGTTCATGAACAGGCTTTCTTAACATGCTTCTCGCCATCATAGGAGGAGTCCAGCTAAGTCTAATAAAAAATACTCTATGGATCTAAGCATTCTTTTTTAAAATGCCCCAGAGAGAATTAAATCCCTAGGTAGAAAATATAGAAACCCAAGCCTGATTTCTTTTAGAAACTGTTTTAGTAGTGGGGGAGAAAGTAAAATGAGCAAAATTTTTTTGTTTTAATTTTGGTGGCTGTACATTAGTGATGGGTTTTAGATTTGCAGTTCAGTAAGTAAGCATACATGGAAAAATAAAGATAAAACATGTTTACAAAAAATACCAACACTTTTTCCATGGGGACCAAGAAAGCCACCATGCTAGGAGAGCCTGGGGGACCCAATCTGGAGCCTAGAGCTATGCATCTGCATTCCAGAAAAAGATAATGTCTTTTTATTATGCTTTTTTTTTTCTCCAAATAGCTACATTGTCTTCCTTTATCAGCAGTAGCAAGATTTGAGCATATAGGTATGGCAACAGTATTTTCAGAATAGAAAATGAAAATAAACTTTATTTTTGTTCCCAGTTTATCGGTTTATTTTGATGGCAAGTTGAACAAATTAGAAAAATGAAATAATTGAAGTTATGTTTATTGAAAAAATAAGATATTATGAAATGAAGACTATCTCCAAAATTTAGAAACTAGTGAGCATCTGGCTCTGTGATGCCCAGGTGACCCACAACCGTACATGTGATCAGTCCTGAGTAGTCCTGTCCAGCAGGCATGAATGAGAGGTTTTTAACAAGCTATTATTAAATCTGAACCTGATTATTTCTGTTTTTATAAAGCACAGGCACATGCACATACACAAAAACACACAATGAGTCCTCTCCTACTATGATATAGCAACATCTTTACTCTGTAACAATAAATTTTGTATATCTAACTTCTCCCCTTAGAAACCAAGCACTTCTCCCCATAAGACCCAGATCATAAAAGTTTATGTCTTTCCTCATAGTAGGTAAATCAACAACTGCTTGATAAATGAAAGAACGGATGTAAGCATTTGTACTAATCCTCCATTTCTGGAAGAAGCATATGCTTTGTATGTTTGGGGGAATAAGGCCATGCCTGGGGAATTTATTTTGCATTTGTAAGAAAGAGAGAATATGACAACAAACTGACACAAGAGATTAGAAAACAAAACACAAAGAATGTCCTGGATGGGTTCTCCCCTGGTATAGATGAGGTGAACAACCAAAGCCACCCCTGCCCACCCTTCCACAGAGATTCTGAGTTTACAAAGTGCTTTCCTCTCCATTCTTTTGCTTTTGAGTCTCAAAAAAACCCTGGGTGAGGAGAGATAATCATCAATTTATAGATGTGGAAACTGAAGCTCAGAGAAAATGGTGATTTGCCCGAGATCACAGAGTTAGATCGTAGTCTAGATCAGGGGTTGGCAAGCTTTTGTATATATAGCGCAAGATAGTAAATAGTTTTTTGGTGGGGTCCTACAGCCCCTGTTTTTTGTTTGGTGGGGTCCTACAGCCCCTGTTATGACAACTCTGCCATTGTGCAGCAGCCATAGACAATATGTAAACAGATGAGTGTAGCTGTGTTCCAATAAAACTTTATCTAAAAAAACAGACAGCGGGCTCAATTTGGCCCTTGGGCTGTAGTCTGCCCATCCCCTGGTCTAGATCTTTTGACTTCAAATCCTGTACCCCTTTGCCATAACCACAGTAGCTACATTTGGGCTAAAATGTTATTAACAACTATTCTGAAGTCCTGAAATGCTTCAGAGGCTTTTTTTGAATCATCTAAGAAAAAGTAAATTACCTTCAGTAGTTGATGTTAAGCTTTTTTTATTGTATTCATTCTCTAAAAAGTGTTGAGATCATAGCTGGTTATGACCCCGTATTTTCCCAGCCATTCTGGATAGAAGTAATTTTTCCTTGCCCTTGGGGTCCTGGCGATTATTCTGATCCTGACAACCTCACGGTTGATGGCAGCAGTAGAGATGCTGGCCAGAAGGAGTCTCAGCATTTCTGCACTGCCAACCTGCACACCTTGCTCTTTCTCTCTTTAAAAACCATCATTCTCCAGAAACCTACCAGTTACTCTCCTCATCTGCAAAACCCCTGAGGGGGCAGCCAGATGGGTAGCTGCTGCTGAAAA